ACAATCCTTGATTTTTATTTTTTTTTTCATTCATTTCTAGCAAAACACATACAAACTTAACATTAGATCTAAAAAAAGAGAGGGAACATCAACAGAAAAATAAAAAGAAACAAACATGGTGGATTTTTAGAGGAAAATGGATCCAAATTTGATGGGAGAGATCCACCCACGGGATCAAGCTCCAACTATCTCCTTCACCATTTTCCTAAAAAAATACCCTTTGTTTCGAAGCTTGTAAGGACAAGGCCAACACAGCGGTTACATTGAGAATGCCCACACCCAATCACTAGTCTCCACTTAACCCTCCATCTTCGAGAGACCTACTCTGTTAGAACACGCCACGCTCATTTAATGTGGCTGCTCCGTTAAGGGATGTTACGTCCATCAAAGATGCATGTTTCGTCAAACACATCATATCACAATTATGATGATTAAGAAAGCCACATGGATGCCTTGTCAAGACATACAAATATGTCTACACATGGCTCCAAAAAGGTATGATGAAGAAAGACCAAAGAGAGAACTCTTTCAATATTCTCATTGAGAGCGTAGACCGGATTGTTGCTAACTTAAGCATTTAAGTGTTTACCACGAGGGCGACCCTCGAGGCTTTGCAGGTCAGTCTCGTGAGAAGGCCATAACGAAGGAGGTCTCAAAGGTTTGTTGTATCAACATTGGCACCATCTATGGAAAACTTGAGCAAAAAGCCCTTACAAAGACTAAGATGGTTCACACACGTGCGACTCAACATGGGAGCCCACACCAAGGTCATGGAAGGGGTTAACCTCTAAGTGTTGATCCCATATCTTAGAATGTGTCGCTTACGGCCACCCAACATCAGCAGGTGGAGGGAACTAGAGAGCATAATCTGCAACATTCGGATGCTGCCACAAATGACCCCATAACTGCTCAACTTAATACCATGCAACAGCAGTTCCGAGTATTCCAACTAGTGCTCTCACAACTGCTAGCCAGAGATAATCTCGGTGACCCACTTATCAACTTACTAAACCCAGCCCATCCCACAATCCCTCACCCAACCTAGCAGCTTACCAACTCCCTACTATCTAGTGTTGCCCCATCTCGAAGTGGCTCCCAAGCACAGTCCCACATCCTACCCCCACCCCCAAATCCACCTCAAACGTCTCTAAAAGGCTAGACAACATAGAAAAACTGCTAGCTGAGAACAAGAATGCACAACCACTAATTCCATCTATCTCGGCCTCAATTCCTACCCCCCTTAATAGCAAAATCACCCAAGAACCGTACCCACTTGGATTCAGAATGCCACAGTTTGAAACATATGATGAGACCAATGACCATGACAATCACTTGCATGCATTTTACTCCATCATGCAGGCTTAGAATGCCTCAAACGCTCTGATGTGTAAGGTGTTTCCCTCCACGTTGCGTTGTAACGCTCGGACTTGGTACCATACTTTACAATCGAACTCAATCAATTCATATGCCAAGCTGTAGTCGCCTTCACCACCACATTCTCAAGTCGAAGACTAATTAAAAAGACAACACTTGAGCTTATGCGGGTAATCTAAAGAGAACGTGAGTCTTTGAAGAACTACATGAATAGATTCAATGACGCTATGTTGGAATCAACTCATTTGATGAAGCAATGAGGATAGCTGCCGTGATACAAGGTTTTAACCATGATTGGTTTTGAGACAATTTGATTAAGCATACACTGACTACCTTTGATGAGGTCAACAAGAGATCTCTCAAGTTCATCTAAGTCAAGGAGTATGTTTTGTCTAAACCCTCACCCCCCAAAGAAGCCAGAACCTCGGCATGGAAAGAAAAAGGGCAGAGTAGGAAAAAGTTCAAACCCACACAGAATCGAGGCTCAATTTCAGTTCCTAAGCCCTATAGGCCTGTTGACGACCACTTAAGATTTTTTTTTTTTAAATAAATGAAAGATTAAGCTAAGTGTGAAAAATTTAAGAAAAAGGAGTTGCCACTCGTCCAAATTATAAGGTGGGATAAGTCACCTAAAATGGGTTTGTACAAAGATCAGGGTTAAGGGGTTCGGTTAGGAGTGAGGAAGGGCATGCGCGTACCTCATAATCTTCTACTAAAACATGGTTACATACTTTAAAATTGGGGTTTTGATTCAACTTATTTATTATATTTATGTTTGAGTCTTAATAAAAAAACTTGTAAAAGAGATAAACTTCAAAACACATTTTTTTATTTTTTGGACTAAAATAGATAAAATCAAGAACATGCATGCACAATAAACACAAATGAAAATTAAATGGACTAATTTGATTAAACTCAAAAACATGGAGGACGACTTGATTAAATTCACAAACATAAAAGACTAATTTGAAAAGATTTAAAACCTAGGACTAAATTGCTTAATCAAGAAAGTTCTAAGTAAAATTGAGATAAAATAACAGATAACCTTTTACTTTGATCCAAATTAAGAAAAATTGAAGATTGAAATTAGTTAATTAAGATAATTAGTTTAATTGAATAATGAATTTAATATTAATTAAAATTAATTAATCACATTTATAATGTTTAATTGAGATAATCAAATAAATCTAATTATCCCAAATAAAAGTTTCATAAATATGATTAATTTATTTTAATTAAGATCAATTAACTTCATTAATCATAAATTAAACTAACTAACTTAATTAATTAATAAAATTTTACACTTTTCTTTTTTACTTTTTTTAACCTTTTTAGTTTTTTTTCATATAATTAATCTATTGGACCCGACCCACAAACATAATCCGAGTGAGAAAGTAGGCAAAAAAAAAAAGGATTAAAACATGCAGACAAAACCAGAAAACCAGAGTTCATCATATTACAAACAAAGTTCCTCCAGAATATACATTCAAATCTAGATTCCACAAATATTCATAGCATAATAGCAAATTCATCAACATTTCTCAACAATTATACATGGATTTTCAACATCAATCACTAGAACAATACATCATAGAGAAATAACAAATCTAAAACAGAGATTTCAAGAGAAAAAATGGATCCAGATCTGAATAGAGGAACCCCACCCACGGGATCAGGCTCTGCTCATCACCTTCACCATCCCTCTTGAAGTCCCTCAATTCCAGAAAATTACCTAGGAAAGGGGAAATTCCTGCTCCAATCGGAGTACTCCTGTTTTCTTTCTCTGCCATCAACACCAAACTCAGGCAAATGGGAAAAAAAGAAAACCCAAAACCAAGAAAAACAAAAGAAACACCCTCCCTCTTTCGGGCTTCTGTCTTCTGCTTCTCTCCTTTTTTAGTGACAAGAAGAAGAGGAAACCCAGAAGGAGAAAAACCGAACCCCCTCAACTCACCAATCCTTTCCTATTTATACAAAAATCAAAGGAAATCCTAAAGGACGCTGGTCTACCATCATGCTCAGTTGGCTGCAATGTGGGGTGCAGGATCTGTCTTTGCAGAAAAGGGGGGGCGCAAAGAGGGGCGGTGTAGGATTCGGTTGCAAAAGAGGGGCGGCGCAGAGAGGGGGGTGTAGGATTGGAAGGGCGGAGTCGGCTGCAGGATTAGTTTTGTAGCAAGTAGGGGGAAGTAGAGGGGTGTAGGAGAAGAGGGGCGGAGTCGGCTGTAGGCTCGGGTGCAACGGCAGGGGAGCGCAGGCAGCAAGGGGGCACAGGCAGCAGGGGGTGCAGGCTGTTGTCGGCTCAGGGGGTGACTTCACCCTCTCTAACTTTTGATTTCTTCAATTGAATCCTTTCTTTTTTCTTCTCCCACTTTTTCGCGAAATTTTCTTTTGCTTGCAAGCCTAACAATGAAAGTAAAAATTGAACATATTAAGATAAAAACTAAAATAAAAATGAAAATTTAAAATTTTTGAATTATGAAAATTGCCCTATTTTCTTTTCCTTCTGGTAAGAATGAAAAGAAAAAACAAAAATAACTAAAAATTTTCTTTAACGGTTTTTTTTTTTTTTTTTAAAACTGAACAGATAAAGTAAAACTGGTCGAATAACCGAACGAGTGAGTAAAAACGGTTAGGAAACCGCAACGATCTGATTAACCGAACGAAAGAGATAAAACGGTTAAAAAAAAGCACAACGATCGGATTGATCGAACGAATGAGAGAAGACGGTTAGAAAACCGCAACGATCAGATTAATTGAACGAATGAGATAAAACGACTATAAAGCTGCAACGATTAGATTAACTAAACGAATGAGATAAAACAGCTAGAAGACCGCAACGATCGGATTGACCGAAGGAATGAGAGAAGATGGTTAGAAAACCGCAATGATCTAATTAACTGAACGAATGAGATAAAACGACTAAAAACCCACAACGATCGGATTAACAGAACAAATGGGATAAAACGGTTAGAAAATTGCAATGATCGTAGTGACTGAACGAATGAGAGAGGATAGTTAGGAAACCGCAACGATCAGATTAACTGAACGAATGAGAGAAGATGGTTAGAAAACCGCAACGATCGGATTAATCAAACGAAAACGGTTAAAAAACCGCAATGATCAGATTGACCGAACGAATGAGATAAAACAGTTAAGAAACCACAACGATTGGATTAACCGAACGAATGAGATAAAATGATTAGAAAACCGCAACGATCGGATTGACCAAATGAATGAGATAAAACGACTAAAAAGCCACAACAATTGGATTGACCAAACGAATGAGATAAGATGGTTAAGAAACCGCAACGATTGGATTAACTGAACGAATGAGATAAAATGGCTAGAAGACCGCAACGATCAGATTGATCGAAAGAATGAGAGAAGATGGTTAGAAAACCGCAATGATCTAATTAACTGAACGAATGAGATAAAACGACTAAAAACCCACAACGATTGGATCAACAGAATGAATGGGATAAAACGGTTAGAAAATCGCAATGATCGGAGTGACCGAACGAATGAGAGAAGACAGTTAGGAAACCGCAACGATCGGATTAACTGAATGAATGAGAGAAGATGGTTAGAAAACCGCAACGATCGGATTAATCGAACGAAAATGGTTAGAAAACCACAATGATCGAATTGACTGAATGAATGAGATAAAACGGTTAGAAAACCGTAACAATCGAATTGACCGAACGAATGAGATAAAACGATTAGAAAACCGCAACGATCGGATTAACCAAACGAATGAGATAAAATGGCTAGAAGACCGTAACGATAGATTGACCGAACGAATGAGATAAAACGGTTAGAAAACCGCAACGATCGGATTGATTGAACGAATGAGATAAAACGACTAAAAAGCCAAAATGATCGGGTTGACCAAACAAATGAAATAAAACGGTTAAGAAACCACAACGATCGGATTGACCGAACAAATGAGATAAAACGGTTAGAAAACTACAATGATTAGATTGACCGAATGAATGAGATAAAATGGTTAAAAAACTGCAACGATCAGATTGACCGAATGAGTGAGAGAAGACCGTTAGAAAACCGCAATGGTTGAATGACCGAAAAAGGTAGAGTATCTGGGCCTAATGAGTGTAAAATGCAGCTAAAAGGCTAGATGAAAGCAATGATTAAAAGATCCACAGCCATGAAACATATGTAAGCGAAACAATCTTCATATATAAGAAGGTAGAAATGAAAGCAGGTTAAGAAACTTGCTTGAACATGTTGGATGTCCATATTCAACGAGAGTCCTGTGTCTTTCATATTGCGCACTCATCAATTAGTGATATTATCCTTATGTAGCAGCTTGGTAGATTTACATATGTGAATACCCTAGGGAATGCCAAAGGTAGAACCTCATTTGTTTCCCATGAGGAGATATTTGAAAATATTGCCCCAATAAGTGGAACTTTCATTTGCTATTAGAATTTCAACTAGCATGGATGACTTCTTAGCTATCAAATTCAACTTCCTTTCTCCTTGTAATTCTCATCCAACCTTTCAAATTTATCAAGAGATTTTGATTAGATAAACAAATATATTAACTGAAATAGAGTCCCATGCTCAACTAGCATTCCCAATACTGAATACAAGGTAAGGTTGGAATAAAGTGCGAATAGAACGATTGCAAAGATTTATTTCATTAGATTCAACCAAGGTTAGGATGATCAAAAGGTCAACTTTGGATAATGACAAAAGAAGTCTGGCTAATAATGCAAGATTTTGATGCAACTGGTTACAAGATATTCAGACCATAGATCGTTGCTTCAGATCATCTTATCTTTACAACTCTACACCTCAATTCTTTAGTCCATGAGAGAGAGTCTCATTCCTTTTCTAAATATTGACACTTCAAATCTTTCCTTTTTCATGAACTAATTCTCATGCTCAGAATAAGGAAGTTTCCAACTGCCATTGCCTAGAGCCTTGTTGTTTCTTCTTCTTCTTCTTCTTCTTCTTTTTTTTTTTTTGTCCCTTGACAAAGAAAGCTTTAAACCCTCAGATAAGGACTTTCATACGGGTTTGTAATGTGGCTTAGGGTTAGGCTACGATGAAAGAAAGGATAAAGGCTCAAAACCCATGTATTCCCTTCCCATCTCTCTCTTCACTTCCCTGGTCATTAATGTGGGTTAATAGAAAGAAACTCATTCTGGCTTTTGTAAATTTGAATGATTGCCTTTTTTCTGGCTCAAAAGGGGTAAGCAAAAGATAATGTTAACTGTTTGGGATAAAGAAATAAGGCCTTTCATCATAGGATTTTCAACTTCCCAAGTCAAGGAAACGTTTAATTTGTTAGGCCGCCCTTTGGGTTTTCAACCTAACTCTTTTTTTTTTTTGCAATAATACATTTTGATAGCATCTACATTCACTGGGTGATGATAATCAGTTCTGTCTGGATATCTCAACAAGAGTGTCCTCTAGAGAAAGCTTCTTTAACAACATAAGGCCCTTCATAATTCGGTGCGAATTTGCCCCTAGGGTCCCTTTCATTTGGCATGATCTTTCTTAAGACGAGATCTCCTTGATGAAATACTCTAGGTTTGACTTTCTTGTTGTAAGCTGTTACTATTTGTTGCTGATAGCATTGACCATGACAAAGAGTTACCAATCTCTTCTCATCAAGCAAGTTGAGGTAATCTATCCTTTTTTGAATCAAGTCTTCTTCTTCAATCCCCGACTCGGATAAAATTCTCATGGAAGGAATTTCTAGCTCAATTGGTAGTACTACCTCCATTCCATACACCAAGGAATAAGGGGTTGCCCCAGTTGAAGTGCGAACAGGGGTTCTATAAACATGGAGAGCATATGGCAACATTTCATGCCAATCTTTATATGTAATTGTCATTTTGGCTAAAATCTTCTTGATATTCTTGTTGGCAGCTTCCATCGCACCATTCATCTTTGGTCAGTATAGAGAAGAATTCAAATGCTTGATCTTGAATTGCTTGCATAGTGCAGTTATCATGTCATTGTTCAAATTGCTTGCATTATCAATAATGATGGCCTCTAGTTGCCTATATCTGTAGATGATCTTTCTCTTGATGAAGCAAGTGACCACCTTCTTTGTAACATTAGCATAAGATGTTGCTTATACCCATTTGGTAAAATAATCAATAGCAACCAAGATAAATTGATGACCATTGGAAGCTTCAGGATTAATTGCCCCAATCACATCAATGCCCCACATGGAGAATGGCCAAGGAGCAGACATATTATGCAGTAATGAAGGTGGAGCATTAATATGATCAGCATAAATCTGACATTTGTGACAAGCTCATGCATATTTAAGGTAATCATGTTCCATAGTCAACCAATAATACCTAGCCCGGAGAATTTTTCTAGCAAGCACTCCTCCATTGGCATGTGTTCCACATATCCTTTCATGGACCTCAATCATGACTTGTTTTGCTTTTATTTCATCAACACATCTCAACAAGGTCATATCAGGAGAGCGCTTATACAATGTATTTCAGCTCAAGAAGTATGAAGCTGCTAATTTTCTAATTGTCTTCTTGTTCACCTCAAAAGCATGTAGAGGGTATTCCCTATTTTGCAAGAACTGTTTAATATCATGAAACCATGGTTTGTCATCAACCTTGATTTCCATGCAATGTGTCAGTTCTTGACTAATTTCAATCTTTAAAGGCTTGATTACATCATCATGGGAGATTTGGATCATGGAGGCTAAAGTGGCCAAAGTATCCGCAAATTGGTTCTTGGCACGAGGCATTTGGTTTAAAGAGATGAATCTGAATTTCTTGATGAGAGTTTCAAGGTATTGGTGATAAGGAATAAGTTTTGGATCCTTGGTTTGCCAATCACCATTTGTTTGACATATGATTAGTGCTGAATCACCATATATCTCCAAATCTCGGACATTCATATCTAGAGCAGCATGTATTCCTGCAATACAACTTCATATTCAGCTATGTTGTTGGTACAAGCAAAATCAAGCTTTATAGCAATAGGAAAATGATCACCCTTTGGGAATACCAACACGGCTCCAAGGCCACAACCAAGCTGGTTAACAGCTCCATTAAAGAAGAGCTTCCAATTGTCTAAATCAGATTCTGGCTCCACTGCCAAAATGTCCTCATCAAGAAAGTCCCAATCAATAGGCTCATAATCCTTTGCCGCATGTTCGGCTAAATGATTGGCAATTGCTTGCCCTTTGATGGCCTTTTGTGTTGTGTAAACAATATCAAATTCAGAAAGCAACATATGCCACCGAGAGATCCTTCCAAAAAGGGTAGGTTTTTCAAAAATGGATTTTATGGGATCCATTCTTGAAAGTAGGTAAGTGGTGTTGGTTAACATGTAGTTGCGAAGTTTCTTGGATGTCCAAGCTAAGGCACAACAAGTTTTTTCTAAGGGTGAGTATTTACTTTCACAATCATTGAACCTCTTGCTCACATAATAGATGGCTCTTTCTTTCTTGCCTGAGTCATCATGTTGAACAAGGACGGCTCCCATGGATTCTTCAAGGACGGCTCCCATGGATTCTTCAAGGACAGTGATATATAGGATGAAAGACCTTTATCAGTTGGAGGCACAAGGATTGGTGGGTTTTTGAGGTATTCTTTGATTTTGTCAAAGGCTTGTTGGCATTGGTCATTCCAGGAATGAGGGTTGTCTTTTCTGAGGAGTTTGAAGATAAGCTCACAAATGGTGGTGAGGTTGGCAATGAAACGGGCAATGTAATTTATTCTTCCCAAGAAACCTCAGACTTCCTTTTGGGTTTTTGGTGGTGGCATTTCATCAATGCTTTTATTTTGGCTGGATTAATCTCTATTCCTCGACGGCTCACAATGAAGCCAAGTAGCTTTCCGGAATCCACATCAAAAGTACATTTGGTAGGATTGAGTCTCAGTTGGTATTTCTTAAGGCATTCAAACACCTTGAGATTTTCTGTATGTAGCACCTCTTCTTTGGACATAATCCCCATGTCAGCAACATATAGCTCAACAATGGTATGCACAAAGTCATGTAATAAAGCAATCATAGAGCATTGGTATGTTGCCTCGGCATTTTTGAGTCCAAAAGGCATAACTTTGTAGCAAAAGGTACCCCACTGAGTGATGAATGTTGTCTTGAGCTTGCCTTCCTCCTTCATTTTTATTTGATTATACCTAGAGTTGCCATCAACAAAAGAAAACCGAGCATTTTTGGCAACATTATCTAGCAGAATTTGGATGTGGGGCAACGAAAAATCATCCTTGGGGCTTGCTTTATTCAAGTCTCTATAATCCACACAGACTCTAACTCAGCCATCCTTTTTCATTACAGGAACAATATTGGCCACTCATCTCGGATACATAGCTACTTCAATGAAATTGAGATCTAGCAGCTTTTGCACTTCTTATTTGACCTTCAACAAAACCTCTGGCTTCATCCTTCTTAGCTTTTGCTTGATTGGCTTGGCATGTCCAGCAATATCAGGATCAAGTCTCGGCATGTCCTTATAGGACCAAGTAAAGAAATCTTGAAATTCAGCTAAGATCTCTATCAACTCTTTTCTTTCCTCTAAGGATAGGTGAGCATTGATTTTTATCTCCTTTCTATCATCTTCAGTTTCCAGATTAATACTCTCAGTCTCTTGATTTGGCTACAGCTTTGATTTTTTTTCTCTTAGCATTTGAGTTAGTTCATGAGAAGGATCAAAATTTTCATTGTCTTCTTCACTATAGGTCTGATCATCAATCTCATATATAAAGTCTAATATGGCATATTGTTTAAAGATTCGTCATTAGCAGGCTTGAAAATTATGGATGGAAGTAAATAAATGGCCAAATCATAATAAAGCAAAGATAAGAACATGTTACTGGACAACCTCATAAAACATGTCATTAAAGAGTGGCTTGCACAATGAAAGTTCAAGTAAAGTTGCATCATGATGATTTTTATAATGATAGGTAGGATTGCAACATGTTTCATTGAAAAGGAAAGCATGGGAATACTAGAAGCATGATAACACAAATTTCAGAAAATATAAAAGTGCTTGCTGAATCCCTCCCTTCATGTAGTCACAAGCAGAACTACTAGAGGCTGACTCTTCTTACTCAGAGATGAAAGCTGCAGGGAGAAGCTCTGCTGTCCAATTAGCCTATGAGCTCCCATTAACTAGAGAAATTCCCTTATCAAATTCAAGTTCTTCCTCATCTAGAGCATTTATAGTCAAATTTCCCCACTAGTCATATAGTGATTCTTCTTTCACTGTTTCAAGTAGCACAGACTCATGTGATCCCATTGGAGTTTTCACATGATGAACTAAATGGAAGTTGGGGTGCTTCTCCATAAATGCCTTTTCAGCAAGCGTCCTTCTCCACCTTTCCTCAGGATTTGTCATGTTGGCTGGCCTAAAGAGGTTGTTGAAACCAAAATTGTCTTCCTCATCATCAGAACAAACTTCATCCGTGATATCTTCCACGACTACTTCCTCAAACTTTGCTTGTTTTGAACATTCCCTAATTTCAAGCAATCTATTTGTGAAAATAGTACCCTCTGGATCTACATATAAAACATCCATATGCTTCACCACATATCCATCAAGAGAAGGGCACAAAATCTCAATAGGTCGTGGAAATGTGACTCTAATGTGCAGCACCGAAATTGGTTCATCCCTTGGATCTTTCCCTTGAAGTCTAGCAAGGCGCTTCTCTGCTTTAATAGCATGTATTCTCTGCCAATCTTCCTTCTTCGACTTGTATCCCAAGCCAAAAGTGCACCAAGCTTGAATTACCTCAATAGGCTCGAGAATTCCTTGTCCATTCAATCCCAAACCCTCTCCCAACTGGTAATGACATGAAAGCATAATCTTAGCAGCAACCTTGGCAGGTTTAGCCATTTCAGCCCATTTTCCTTTGAACTTTGAATGTATATAAGAAGCAGCACCACACTCCATTGAGTGATAAAAGGATTCATAAGTTCCAAGATCAATTCCCAAGTAAGGAATGGTTGTAGCCTTTCGGATGACGTTTTCCTCCTCACCATTCACCATGACAAGAACACCATTGACAATGTATTTGACTTTCTTATGCAAGGTGGATGGTATTGCTTCGGCAACATGTATCCAAGGCCTCCCAAGAAGCATATTAAAAGCAAGAGAAATGTCCATAGCAAAGAAATCCACATCAAAAGTCACAGGACCAATTTCCATTGGAAGCTCAATCCTTCCAACCACATTCCTTTTTGTTCCATCAAAAGCACGAACCACTATATTGCATTGATTAATGTGAGACTCATCCACTTTCAACTGCCTCAAAACAATTATAGGAATCACATTCAAAGCTGACCCATTGTCGATTAACACATGAGGCACATTCATCATCTTGCACTGAACAGAAATGTGAAGAGCCTTGGTATGCCCATTTCCTTCATCGGGAATCTCATCATCAGTGAAATTAATATAATTTGGAGCCAAGATTGCCCCAACCACAGTCCCAAACTTCTGAGTATCAATGTTCTTAGGCACATGGGCCTTTTTCAAGACTTTGAGCAATGTGTCAAGATGAACCTCAGATGACAGCATCAATTCTAAAACAGAAATTTTTGCAGGGGTTTTGTTGAGCTGTTCAATGATGCTATACTCACTCTTCCTCAAAATATTCAAAAATTCTGCAACTTCATTTTCTAACACTACCTTCTTGGGTGATTCTACTAGCATCTCTTCAATTCTGATATCTTTTGATTTCAAGGTAGCCTTTCTCAACTCTTCCACTTCGGGAGATGCACATAGCACCGACCACTACGGGTCATATTAGACACATCATTGGCTATGGAATTCAAGATGGTAGAGCGCTGAGGCATAACCTTAACTGAATAAGGAAAATGGCTATTGGCCACAGATGAGGTCTTCCCTATGAGTGACTTGCTAAGAGAGGTCTTCAAGGCATAAGGTTGCTGTGAATTCTGACTAATGACTTGTGCTTCTATAGTATCTTGCAAAATGTAAGGCCTCTCCTTAGTGAAGTATTCTTCAGTCACTGGTGCTATGAATTTCTCTAATTCTAGAGCAAACATAAACTTCAAAGATCCCATTCTCTGTAGCTTCATGATTTTTCTTTGCAAATCTCCACAATTTTGCAAAGTATGCCCTTTCATATTGGAGTGGTAAAGACATATCATAGCATCATCAGTTATCATTGGCAGAACATTCAAGCTCCTTTGTGCAATCGGCTGAATTATATCATATTCTATCAAAATGCTAAACAATTCATCAAGAGACCAAGAACCAGTATCCTCCAACATCGGCTTTTCAACTCCATTAAAAGTGATCATATTCATTGTGCCTGCATCATGTGGAGGTAAAGGGTTTTGAGTGATGTTTGGAACACCCTTGGCTTCCTTGACATCAAGCTGAAGTTTATCCTCATCGATAAGATCTTGAATTCTATGTTTCAAAGTTGCACAATTCTCAGTGCCATGACTCGCCACATTATGATATTCACAACTAGCCTGTGCATCATACCAATATGGATAAGGTGGTTGGATAGGGTTCACTTGCAATGTCTTTATCAAACCAACTTCAACTAATTGTTTCAACACCTCACCGTAAGGGATTGGAAGTTTAGTGAATTGTCTAGGCTGATTTGCAGGTGGGAATTGCTATCTAACCGGAGCTTGAGCATAATTTGGCCTTCTTTAAAAGTAGTGGGTAGGCTTAAAGGTTGAAGCGTATAACGATTAAGGCTGTCAATTGTAAGGACCATTTACCACATTATAAACTGGTTTAGCATGACTGGTGAAAATGTGACTCAAAGCTTCCTCATCTTCTTTGTTCCCTTTAGGTGAGAACCTCTTCGAAGTAGATCTTGAGCTTCCCATCTTGACTTACTCTAACTGCCTCTGAATGGTTTGAAAGTCCATAATGATACCTGTCTTCAGTCCATCTTCAATTTATTCCCTCGCTGTCACTAACTGAGTAAAAGTATATCCCACACAAGGAGCTAACCATGCACGAAAGGTTCCGATAGTTGACTTGATAAAGAGAGAGCAAATTTCACTGTCAGTAAGAGGTGGAATGACTTTGGCTGTTTTTGATCTCCATTGTTGAGAAAATTCTTTGAAAGTTTCATTACTTTCTTGGTGATTCTCTGCAAGCTATCCCTTGTAGGGGCCAAACTCATGTTATACTCATACTGCTTCATAAAAGCTTGAGAAACATCCTTGAAAGTGCGAATTTAAGGGTAAGAGGTGAGGTTGTGGGCAAGGTAGGGTTGTTTATCTCAAATGGTGGGTATGAGGCTTCAAAGGGTAGAGATGATATTTCTGGAGCATGTGAAGATGACTCCCCCAGTAGAGGCTGATTCTCATAAATAGGTGGAAATTGCAATTGTGTGACCATGGGATCCTTAACACGATTACCTGGTGTGATGGTAGGGACAGGTGGAACAGGTATTGTGGGTATTAAAGATGCAGGTGAAGGAACCTAACCAGTAGTTAAAGTGGACAAAGTGAGAAGTGGTTTGAAGAATAGCAGCCATAGTTTGCATTTTAGGTTCCAACTTATCAATCCTCTCATCCACGACTGATTTTTTTGGATTAATAGCAGCATTTTCTCAGATATTTTGATTACCCCAGATCTGAGCAAATACGGAAAACGCCGCTTTTTGAAGAACTTTCGCCTTAGAGCTATGATTAGAAGACTTTTTACCTAAAAATAGAAATGTAAAGACAAAAAAAGGAAAAATTAGAAAACTAAAGAAACTTTAGCCCTTTTTTATTGGACCATGAGTTTCCCCTTTGAAGTTCTATATGGATCCCCACATCAGTAGTTCCATCTTGTACGAAGACATCCATCCGTTTTACAATGAGTTGTGCTAAAATATGACTTTTCATTACTAGATAACTACGCTTTAAAGAACGTTAGCAAGCAGTACAAAATTACATTCAAAGTGCTTACAAGCCTTCATTCTCTTAAAGCTAAACAAACTCATTACAAAACATAAACCCTAATACAGTCTTTTAAGCACATTGGACATGGAAATGATAAAGTTGAAGATTGGTTGAAAAAATCCTCTCAATCGAATGGGTCCTTTGAGGAATGTGGTGATGAGTCTTGGCTATTTTTCCTGCGAATTGAGTCACCTAAGCAGTTATGTCGATGACAACTTCACGCAAGCTGGTGTCCTCTTCAACAAGAGCTTGGTTCTTTTGCTTTTCAACTTAGAGTTGATAACGCATGTCCTCCATGGCAATCTTGTAAAGATCACGGTTGATGGTCATGTCTTGTATTTGCTTTTCCAATTGCTCATTATCTTTGCGAAGGTGTTCATTGTCCTGAGTCAATTGGTGCAAATAAGAGATGGTTTCTTCACTAAGCCTTTGAGTATAGGCAAAAAACTCCAACAAAGCCTTGTGTATAGAAGGTTGTGTCTTGGATGTGTGAGAATCCATATTTCTTTTCAAAGGTCACAAATGGTTCAATCAAAAGGGTTTGAGAACTAAACACAAAGTGGCAAAAATAAAGATATTAATAAGAAAATAATCAAAGATCGTAATTAATGACATGTATAATAAAATGCAAATGTGATATAAGGCTTGAGCATTAAAATTTCTATCCTAATCATGGATTTTACTTCATCAGATATACTTTTGACAGGGAAGAAAGATTGTATTCATTCAAGCAAGTTTTCATTGACAAATCTGAATGTTTGTACAATAACTCCCAACT